AGTGGTTGTAATTTTGAAGTGAAAAGTTGTCATAAGGGTAAAATTGTAACTTCACTGTGCTAATCATTGTTGCCTTAATCTGTGTGTCATTTCTAAAGTGGACAACTAAAAAGGGACGGAGGGAGTATAACATTAAATTCATACTCATAAAGTATTTAGTTAACTTTTCTTGAAGATTTTAAAAAAAATTATATTTTCATTTTCGTATGAAAAAGTGTCATCCACTAGAAAAATGCCTTTGGATGTGAAAAAAATATCAAAGTGTCTACATTATGATAAAATAAAACTAGATAAAAGATCATGAAGTTTGAATGGAGAAGATTAACATAGTCTTTAATTTGTATAAGGATGATAATTTATTTTTTTTGGGTTTTCACGTGTTCGGAGTCCGAATTGGATTAAATTCAAATCGACCTATTCGGGAGTGATGCTTTCAACATAATTTTCTTCATATCCAGGGTACGAACTTGAGACCTCTGATTAAAGGTGGAACAATCTCACTACTGCATCACAACTCATGTTGGTATAAAAATTAATTTTGATATCTTAAAACGAATTATTATTTTCTAACCTTAGCAATTATGTAGAATTGTAATATACAATTGATATGTCTTTGAATAGCCTAAATAGTCAACTTGTGCAATCCTTGAATTGAATTGGCTTAAAAGCCTTCTACTATGACGATTGCAAACCATTTTCATTGCTTATATTTTACTCTTTTGGCTTTTATTGACATTAACTTCTTAAACCGTTGTTTGAGGCTATGAAAATTCCATTCTCATGACTATACTTATTCACCTATATATATTTGTAGTTTTTCTCCTATTAAAAAAGACAATTTTTTTCATTTTATATTGATTGGAATTTTAATAATCTTTTTACTCCTAGTTTATACTAGAATGACTTACTGAGTTTTGGAAGGAAACACTTTTATCGATAAAACAATTTTAAGGATAGTATCTTTTGACACGCCTCACTCCGATAATTTTAACACTATTCAATATTCATCCATTTCTTTTCATGACATTTTACTCTAAAATTTTGAAAATAATGATAGATTGACCTTTCTCTTAGTTTTTCAAATAGAATAGTTTATTTTTCAGTAAGAAAACGAGTACATACATAAATTCAGATTACATAAGAAATTGAAATTAAATACCAAAAAATGACCCCACAGTTTGTTATTTTCCAAATCACAGACAATTAAATTGTTATTTTCCAAATCACAGACAGAATTAAATGCAATTGAGAAAGAGGAGCAGAAAACGAAGACTAAGAAGAGAAAATCTCAAGGCAAAGTTTGATTATTAAATTTGTGTAAATATAAAGTACTTGGATTGATTTATTTTAAGTGTTTTTAAATTAAAATAATTTAAAAATATTTTTTTGCGTGTTTGACTAATTTTAAAAAGTATTTATAAGCACTTTACTAAATACTCCCTCCGTTACATTTTATTTGACTATTCTTGTACTCTTTTCTTTTTAGGAGTCAAATAATATAAACTTTAACTAATATTTTAAGATGTATTTTTCATCATATTAATATTATTTTTTAAATATAATTTATGATAATTTCTGTATAGTTTTTGAATATTAAAATTTTAATATATTGTTTGGCTAAAAAAAATCTATATGAACGATTTCTTTATCCCTCCCTAAAAGGATAAAAGGAAGAAGTTTTAAAAGCAAATTTTCTAAAAGATGCTAATATTAGATAACTAGGGTGAACAATCCCAATGACTTAAATTTTTTATTTTAGAAAAGTATGAAAGAATTAAATTACAAAATAAAAAGGAAAAGAAAATAAAAAAAAAAGGAAAAAGAATAATGATGGAGGAAAGAGAGATTAGAAAGTCAAAACAACCATAAAGATATGCACATCTCAAAGTAACCCAAAAGCTTTGGTTGTTGAGAAATTCTTAATGCTGCATTTAGAGCACACATCAAATAAAAATGCAAGCACTCTTCAGAACCCTATGCCAATATTGATTCCTTTCACTATGCACCCCAATTTTTATTTTTATTTTTAGTGATCACTCTGTTCACTTTTACTTATCATATTTTTATTTTTTAATAGTTAAATTATATAGATTTTGATCAATATTTTAAAATAATAATATTAAAATGAGAAAAAAAGAGAGGATATAATTCAAAAGTATTTTTATGTAGTTTTTGAATATTCAAATATTAAATTAATTTAATTTTGAAAATCAATCAAATTGACTGTCATCAAGCAAAACGTGACACGGGAAGTAGTGTTGATTCCTTTTACTATGCACCCCAATTTTTTTTTTACTGCTCACTCCGTTCACTTTTACTTATTATATTTTACATTTTAATAGTTAAATTATATAGATTCTGAGCAATATTGTAAAATAATAATATTAAAATAAGAAAAATAATATACAATTTATAATATTTCTAAATGTAATTTTTGAATATTTAAATAATTTAATTTAATTTAAAAAATTAATTAAATTGACTGCTGTTAAGCAAAACGTGACACAAGAAATAGTGTTGATTTATCTTTATTTTTTTAGTTCCTGTTTAATCGTAAATTTTAAAGGGAAAATCACTTACGTGTACACTTTTTTAAAAATATTTACGACATATGTCAACATTATTCTTTTAAGGGAAAATTGTATATAATAGCAAACTATTAATTCAAATTACATGCTATAAATATAGTTTGATTTAATTGTACCTCATAGCAAACTGTTGCTATTTCACCTCTCTCCTGGTGAATCTCGCTCGCCACTCTCGTTCTCTCCCTCGCCTCTCTCGTTTTTTATACAAATGCAAGTGTATAAAGTGTGTTTGTATTTGTATAAAGCGAGAGAAAATTGTATATATATATATATATATATATATATATTTTATTTTATTTTCGTTCCCCTCTCCCAGATCTCGCTCTATCACTTTATACAAAAAACGCAAATTGTATAAAATGCGTTTGTGTTTGTATAAAGCGAGAGAAAATTGTATATATATATATATTTTCGTTCCCCTCTCTCCTCTCCCCCAGATCTCGCTCGCCACTCTCCCAGATCTCGCTCTCTCACTTTATACAAAAACGCAAATGTATAAAATGCATGAAAATTGTATTTATACATATATTTTCGTTCCCCTTTTCCAGATCTCACTCGCCACTCTCCCAGATCTCGCTTGCTCACTCACCTCTCTCACTTTATACAATTGATCTTTTTGTATATGTATACCAAAACAGATTATACAACTATTTTTTTTTGTATATGTATAGTGAATTATACATATATATGTTTGCTATGGAGCGTAATTATGCAAACTTTGCTATAGTATACAAATATGAATTTTGTGTTTGCTATATGTGAAAGTTGTTTTTCTTTTAACCATATATAACAATTTGGTTGAATGACAGTATTGCTAAAAGTTGCGAATGATAACACTTTTTGCTAAGTTTAAAGGAACAAAATTGTTTTAAATAAGTATTGCTAAAAGTTGACAAAACTGATAATAAATTAAAAATATACTTTAAAAAAATAATTATTAAATAAAAGACCTTCACTTATATAATTTTCCAATTTTTTAAAGTTAAAATTTAAAAAATTAATGTTCAAATGCTAAGTACACTCTGATAATTTGGATATTTGGAACCTTTCGTTTAGTCAAAGGCTCCAAATTACAGAATTGTATATCCCAAAAGACTGCCAAATTAAGGAATAGAATAATCTTTTTTGTGACTTATTTCCATGCGTTACAGTTCTAATGGGCCCAAAAAAGGTCTAATCTCCTTTTTCTTTGGTCAACTCTTCAATTAATGTCTGATGAGAATACGCACTTTTACCCTTTTTCTCATCATTTATTATAAAAAGAAAAGAAAAGGAAGAAAAAATATATATACTATGGTCTAATATTAAATATTGGGACCAATCAACAAAATGCTGGACTACTTGTCAAGCAGAAATTAATTTTGCAAAGGCAAACTGAAAATAACTAATCATAAGACATTTTCTTTTCTTAAGATTTTTTTAAAAAAAAAATCTACATTTTAATTTTTTTTTTAGCTCAAATACAAACATACAAGTCTTTTAGGATAAAAGGATCTCTTACCTTTTCAATTATTAGACAAATTAGATTTTACCAATTTTTGATTGATAAGTCAAAATAAGTAAAAACCTTAAAAGGCTAAGCCATAACTATTACAAATACTAATGAAAGTAAGAAACTTTTACCTCATTAACCAAATCTTTTTTTTTAAGTCTAAGATATTCATTATGAATATCATTGAATATAAACTCTTACATGATTATAGATCAATTATTTTAATAGACAAATGAGAACATATACATATAATATTACATTAAAAATTGAAATATTCAATTAAAATATAACTTTATTTAAATGTCAAATGAAATATTTTTGATAAATCTACGAAGCTAATTATGTATTAAGCTTCCACTAAAAGTACCCATGCTTCACTACTTGACATCATCATATAAAGCTCCACATAAACACATTAAAAAATATTTAATCTAGTACCACATGATTAATTTTAAAATTTATTTTCTTTATTCTAACACTACTTTTTTTTTGCAATATTACATACATAATCACTCACTTATTTTTTTTTTCATACTTTTTTTTATTGCTTCACCCTTTAACAGAACCAAGTAATTTTTTCTCCAATCACCACTTATGCTAATTTTAAATTCATTATTTATAGATTTCTTAATTTTTTTAAAATTAATATAATTAAAATGAATTAATTAATTAAGCTAAATAGGTAGGAAGAAAATGAATGGACAGGATTTAAGAATCTGGATAATATAATCCGTCAAAGCTAAGGTTCCAGCATTTTCATGGCGGCTCATGAAATTTCTAAAAAATATATAAAAAACCAAAAACCAGCAAAGGAAAAAAAAACAAATATTGGAAAAAAAGGAAAAAAATATTGAAAAAAAGGAAAAAATAAGAAATTGTCAACAGACAAATCTTTATAATAGCACAGTGAATACCCCCCTTCCCATTTCTTTCTCTTCCAGCTTTTTCTTTGCTTTCTTCTTCTTCTTTAACGCGGATTCACTATAGAATATACCTATATTTTCCCTTTTTTGGTTCTATTGTCAATCCATACAAGTTCTTGTACAAATAATAAATACCCATTTCGTTCTTGGTCTTAAATTCAAACCTTTCTTGATAGTTTTTTTTCAGAAAGGTAGAATCTTGGAGTTGTTTTTACAGTTTTTTGGTATACCCATATAGAAATCTCACTGAAATATTGCACAAATAAGATCAAGAAAGCATTTTTCAGTGGGAAACAAGAAAAGGGTTGGAGTTGATTATTCAAGATTTTGGTGAAATTGGGTGTTGGAAATTGATGGCATCTGCTGCAATTTTCTCATCGTTGAGGAGACAAAGGTCGCCGACACTGGAAGCGTTCTTGGCGCCGGTGGATCTGACAGATGTTGGGTTGTTGCAAACACTAACGGCGTTATCTTCTGAGCTGATTTCTGCATATTCAGGTAAAAGGCTGCCGTTTTATCAGCGGAAGAATTGTAAGTCTTTGTTAAGGAAAATTCAAGTGTTTTCTGTTCTCTTGGAATGTCTTCTTGAGAATAACAAGAACAGAAGTAGGGGTTCTTCAGATTTGCCGTTTACAGCTTTTTTGTGCTTCAAGGAGTTGTATTTATTGCTTTACCGGTCGAAAATCTTGCTTGATTATTGCTCTCATTCCAGTAAGTTGTGGCTGTTGCTACAAAACCATTCGATTTCAGGTCATTTCCATGATTTGAACCAAGAAATCTCGACCCTTTTGGATGTTTTCCCCTTAAAGGATTTAAAAAATTTACCTGAAGATGTTAGGGAACAGGTTGAGTTGTTGAAGAAACAAGCAAGAAAATCTCAGTTGTTTGTTGATAAACATGATGAGATGCTGAGGTTGAAAATGTTCTCTTTCTTGAATGAGTTTGAGAATGGAGGTGTTCCTGACTACGCGCAGTTGTACTCTTTTTTTGTGGAAAAATTGGGGATTTCTAATCCTAGGAGTTGCAGGGTTGAGATTGAGTTTTTGGAGGAGCAGATTGTGAACCATGAAGGAGATATTGAGCCGACATCCTCAGTTCTCAACGGCTTTGTGGCGTTGATGCGATACTGCAGGTTTTTGCTCTTTGGCTTTGAAGAGGATGATATGGGATTGAGATTGGGTAAGCATAAGAAGCTGAAGAGAGGGCTGATTAGTAAAGAGATTGCAGAGACATTCATTTCTGTACCAAAGGACTTCTGTTGTCCGATATCGTTGGATTTGATGAGGGATCCAGTTATTGTGGCAACAGGGCAGACATATGATCGAGCTTCCATATCGAGGTGGATGGAGGAGGGTCACTGTACTTGCCCAAAGACAGGGCAGTTGCTTGATCATACCCGGCTTGTGCCAAACAGGGCTCTTAGGAATTTGATTATGCATTGGTGTGCTGCTCGCAAAATTCCCTATGACCCTCTGGAGAGTGGGGATCCATGTATTGAATGTTTCCCATCTGCTTCACCTAGCAGGGCTGCATTAGAAGCTAATAAAGCCACAGCAGCTCTTCTCATTAAGCAGCTAGAGAATGGGACGCAGATTGCAAAAACTATTGCTGCTCGGGAGATAAGACTTTTAGCTAAAACTGGTAAGGAGAATCGTGCATACATAGCCGAGGCTGGTGCAATCCCACATTTGAAGAATTTGCTTTCATCTCCAGATGCTGTGGCACAAGAAAATTCCGTCACTGCAATGCTTAACTTATCGATTTTTGATAAGAATAAAGGTCGAATTATTGATGAAGTAGGGTGTCTGGCGTTGATAGTTGGAGTGTTGAGATTTGGGCACACCACAGAGGCACGGGAAAATGCTGCGGCAACATTGTTCAGTCTGTCAGCTGTTCATGACTATAAGAGGCAAATAGCAAAAGAAGATGGGGCAGTCGAGGCCTTAGCAGGTCTGTTGCGAGAAGGTTCTCCCCGAGGGAAGAAGGATGCAGTAACTGCTCTATTTAATTTGTCTACCCACACAGATAATTGTGCGAGGATGATAGAGTGTGGAGCTGTTACTGCTCTAGTTGGAGCTTTGGGAAGTGAAGGTGTTGCCGAAGAAGCTGCTGGTGCATTGGCGCTGATTGTTAGGCAGCAAGTTGGTGCTACAGCTGTTGGCAATGAGGAAACGGCAGTAGCAGGGCTCATTGCAATGATGCGATGTGGGACACCAAGAGGGAAAGAGAATGCAGTTGCTGCATTGCTTGAATTATGCCGTGGTGGTGGAGCAGCTGCTACTGAGAGGGTCTTGAAGGCGCCGTCATTAGCAAGTTTACTTCAGACATTGCTCTTTACAGGAACAAAGCGCGCAAGGAGGAAAGCAGCATCGCTTGCTAGAGTATTCCAACGGTGTGAGCATGCATCAGTTCATTATAGCGGGTTTGGTGTAGGATATGCATTTTCTGGGAACTCAGCTGCATCTAGGGATTCAACTTTTCCTAGTGATGTCTCAGTGTCCATGTCCATTTCAGTTCCAGTATTATAGGGTGGGGTACTTATCACCATTCATCTTTTGTTCTTAGTTTTGCCTGTAATATTCAAAAATTCTTTCATTGAAATATAAACGCGACAAAGAAAGAGAGAAATCATAGGAATACCATAAAATTCATGTGTTCTTAGAGAATACAGTGTTTCAAGTCTCTTCGCGTTTCGCTTATCTGAGATGTTAGTGAATAATAGGTTGGTTAAAATTTTGATCATGTGCTTTAGGATTCTATCTCTCTTTTTTACCTTTTCTCAACTTTGTTTGCAAGGTATCAAAATCCGTTAAAGTTAAATGGTCTGCTGAACATGATATACCAACTTGATAACTGAAACAAACCTTTGTAACTGAGTAAGATATTGAGTTAGTTACATTGTAACTTTCAAATATAGAGAAATTTTACCAATTCCTAATGTAAGAATTAGTGTATATGGACACCTCCCTTTTTTAGTCAAATTTGTTTTTTCTTTGTTCAATGGTTTGGTGTGTAAGAAGATAATGTATGACTTTGCTTATGCAAACATTTATTAGTGGTGTTCAAGTTTGGTTCAACTCTCTAATAGGATATCAATGTTGACTTTGAATAAATCCACTTGGAAAAGATTAATAAGAGTGAACAAGGAAAACACCCCAAAGAGAGAGGCACCCAAGGGGTGACTTATCAGTCAATGAGATTAACGAAACTATCTCGATTCAAAATCTGAAGTATATGAGTAATTACAATGTCTTCACGTTAATATATGATAATGAGTGGATGCGCAGTCAGATATATGATTTGGACCAAAAATATTAGGGTTTTGTTTGATAGTTGGCCAGATTTGTGTAGGTATTACTCCTTAATACATGAATGAATTATGAGAAAATTTGTGTATTATTTTATGCAGGGATAGATATGCAAAATTTAGCTATTTATGTATTAAACTTACAAAAGTATACATAGATTTCCTTTGTCTTTCAACCTTACAAATGCTTTCATACCATTGACATCAAACTCAAAAACACTTTTTTTTCAAGCAATCGGCACAAAGGAACAACTACCTTGTAGAAATCTTTTATAAATCGCCAGTAGAACATGGCCTAGAAAACTCCTCACACCTTTCACCGAAATTGAGGAGTCCATGGAAGTTTTTATGGATGATTTCTCCATTGTTGGAGACTCGTTTGAAGAATGTTGAATCATTTGGGGAAGGTAACTTATACATGTATTATTAGTTATACAAGTTTTTATATTGCAAACACCAAACACCATATTAATTTTATACATAAGCCTAACTAACTACCATACATGGTATTACTTATACAAGATCTAATACATGTATAATATTTCTCCTACTCAACTACCAAATAACCCCTTAGATTCCTAAAAATCCATAGTATATGCTCTAGATTTGCCACGGGTGCAAAATCATTTGATGCCAACACTAATAAATGATAACAGGCACCTCGTGAAATAGTAATACCAATAATATATATGCAAGTTGGTTTACATATCATTGTAATCGAAGAAAAAGAAAAGAAAAGAGAGACAGAGATAAGTGGTACGGAAAACCAAATGCGTCCGTCACCTGTAAATGGTTGGAAAACAATGCAAAATTTCTATCGTAGAAATGATGGCTTGGCGCACCAAAATGTTCCTTAGAGAAATAATTGATTCTTCATGCTTCTTTTGAGTTGTTTTCCAATACCTATTTCTTTATTTTTATTTTTTTTATCACAAGGCAACAAACTTTGGTTACATGATGATTTCATTATCCCATTGTAAATAATATCTTTAATTCATTTTGATACGTTGACCTATCATTATGCTTGTATTTGGACATAAAAAGAAGCCTCTCCTTTTAAAAGAAACAACAAAAAAATTTCTTAGTTGATGGGATATAAATGATGTCTTAGACTTCTAGTGGGGTGTTTTTAATTTTCATTTCATGTTATGAACCTTTTTTCTTTGTGGGGTTTCTGAGAGGAAAATAAATAAATTAGAGTTTGTGCTTTTCCTCTTTTTTCTAATAAACCATGGCTCTAGAAACACTCTTTTGAAAAGAAAAGAAACTTCTTTTTTTTTCTAAAATTGTTTTTGAAGAATTGCTTTGCTAAAGTTTCTTTTTGAAAAAGGCTTTGGGACTTTGGTCCAGTAATAAGAGCGCAATATATGATGTGTGGGTTAGACGCACGTCACGAGTTTGAATTCTATTGCTTGCAAAAGTATTTACGTTGAAATTCCACTGAATTTCGAATTGACACTCAAATATTTCTTTCTCTATTATCAAGAAAAGTAGTTCCATGTTAAAAAACAATGACACCATAAATGAAATGGGAGAAAAAGAGAAAAGTTGTAGAAGGAATATTCAACTTCTTAACAGTTATTCCTAGTTCAAATTTTCAGGCAATACTTTTCCATATGTGATAAAGTTTGGCTCTAATAACACTTCCTCAAATCACAGTTTGTCTTTTTTTTTTGAAAATTGACACTTAATAATAGCTATAGTCTAAGATTACAGCTACATGGTTTAAGGAAATATCAGCTTACAAACAAATGTCTTTCACTTTTTAATGTTCTGAAGTTGAGGTTTTTGGTTAGTATAAGTCATTCATGAGAAGATCTTCCACTTCAAGTGAGGTCTGTGAATTGAAGAAAGTAAAAACAAAAAAAATGATCTTTACTGATCTTTTAAGCACAAAGAATTCTTCAAGATATCAGGGATTCATACAATAGAGATGGCATAATGTATATGGAACCTAACCTATCTATGGTTACTTAAATCCTAAACACTGACTCGACGCCAAGCTTACTACTGCATTATCTCTGATGACTCCCAAAACTTGAGTAGCCTTGTGTGTTCTTGTTGTTCAATTTTATTAGTAAGGTAAGAAACTAATGGAGTTACAACTATGATAAAAGAGATGTTTCTGTTGGGAAAACACAGATAAACACAAAAATATATATGGTCAAAATAATGGAAATAAAATGGGAAAATAATGACACCAAGAATTTTACGTGGAAACCCTTCTAAATAAGGGAAAAACCACGGGCTAAGAGGAGCAACTGATATTACTATAGTAACGAATTTTACACCGTGTAGCCACGAATACAATACTCAAAGTGACTACTACACACTCAAAAGGAATAACACTCTTTTGATTTCCACCTTACTAAAATATCGCTCACACTTTATTTTTCTTCACAAACTATTTTTCTTGTATAGTCTATGGAAATCTCACAGCTCTCTATATTTTTCTTTCTCTGTGAATTGGTGTGTCAAATGAGGAGCTGAAGAGCTCCTTTTATAGATGCAATTGCATTGCACTATTCAAAAACCATGCCACTGAAAATTTGCATTGTTGCAAACTTTGTTGACAAAAGAAAAAGGTTTGCAGCTATTGTTGACAAACAAATTTAGTTGCGTTTTCTTTACAACAATTGCAATCGCAATTGTTGACCCAAAAACTCATGGGATGGACCCCACAAATCTCCCCATCCAGTCCCATGTACTAGAAGGAGGTATCTTCATCTTCTCAGAGAGAGCTCAGGCCAACAAGTTCTTTGCATAACTCGAACTTGTCCCTTGTTACCACTTTGGTCAACATATCTGAAGGATTCTCATTTGTAGAGATCTTTTCAACCTGCATAAATTTGTCTTCTATCTTTTCTCGAATCCAGTGATATCTCACGTTTATGTGTTTCGTCCTTGCATGGTACATAGAGTTCTTGCTCAAGTCTATTGCACTTTGACTGTCATAATAGACGACATACTCCTTTTGATGCAAGCCAAGCTCTTGAAGAAATTGCTTGAGCCATATCATTTCCTTGCCAGCTTCAGTAGCCGCAATATACTCAGCTTCAGTTGTAGATAGTGCAACACACTTCTGCAACTTCGACTGCCATGATATAGCTCTCCCTGAAAAAGCAAACAAATATCCAGTAGTGGATTTTCTGTTATCAAGGTCACCTGCCATATCAGCATCTGTATAGCCCTTCAAGATTGGATCTGATGCTCCAAAACACAAGCATTTATCTGAGCTTCCTTTAAGATACTTGAGTATCCACTTCACAGCTTCCCAATGCTCTTTTCCCGAATTGTCAAGAAATCTACTAACAACACCAACTGCGTGAGCAATATCAGGTCTAGTGCATACCATTGCATACATTAGACTTCCGACGACGGAGGAATATGAAACTTTGGCCATGTTCTTTTTTTCCTCCCTAGTTGTAGGACACATCTTCTTGCTCAGCTTCATATGACCAGCAAGAGGTGTACTAACAGACTTAACATTCTTCATATTGAAACACTCTAGTACACGTTCAATGTTCTTTTTCTGTGACAACAAAATCTTTCTTTCATCTCTGAGACGAGTAATTCTCATGCCCAAAATTTACTTGGCATGACCCAAGTCTTCCATAGCAAAAGACTTACGCAACTCTTTCTTTAACTCGTCAATCTTGAAAGTATTGTTGCCCACAATCAACATATCATCCACATACAACAAGAGGATGATAAAATCATTGTCTGAAATTTTTTGTACAAATACACAATGATCTGAAGAAGTCTTCTTATAGCCTTGTTCCCCCATAATAGATTCAAATTTCTTGTATCACTGTCTAGGAGCTTGCTTTAGGTCATAAAGACTCTTTTTGAGTTTGCACACAAAATTTTCTTTACCTTCTACTTTGAAGCCCTCAGGTTGTTCCATATAAATTTCTTCTTCTAGGTCACCGTGAAGGAAAGCCGTCTTCGCATCCATCTGCTCAATCTCTAAATTAAGACTAGCAGTCAAACCCAGATTGTACGAATCGAGGACACTTTCACAACAAGAGAAAATATTTCGTCAAAGTCAATACCATTTTTTTGACCAAATCCCTTAACAACCAATCTAGCTTTGTACCTTGGCTTCAAGTTGTGTTCTTCAACTTGAACTTTGAACACCCACTTATTCTTCAAAGCTCTCATGCCTTTGGGCAATTTTACCAACTCATAAGTGTGGTTCTCATGCAGAGACTTCATTTCATCTTGCATGGCTTTAATCCATTGATCCTTGTGCTCATCTTCTATGGCCTCCTCATAACATTCAGGTTCTCCCCCATCAGTGAGTAATACATACTCATTGAGTGAATAACGAGAGGAAGGAACCCGCTGCCTTG